TTTACAGGGTGTTCTATTCAAAAAAAGTAATTCGTAGTATTTCACGCTTTCATGAATCATCCTGTAAAACTTCTGATAAGGGCTGTGGAAAGGCGTCATTGCGGCATTCAACTTTGTTTCTTTTTTATCGATGAAAAAATAACGTTTATCCTGTACATAGGCGTAGGCGGACATTCAGTATAAAAAACTGATTTTATTTGTCAGGAAATGTACTTCTTCTACTCAGATAACTAAAATGGCATTTGGCGTATGGATATGTACCACGCTAAATGATCGATTAATAACGGATTAACGATCTGCGGTTTATTCAGAGAATCAAACACGTCACCATGGCAACACAGTTTTTTAAACATTCCCACAGTCGTTTGAGTCCTGTCCAGACCATCCTGTCAATTATGGGAACTGTCAACTGTCATTTTCGAATTTTGTTGCAATCGGTGACAATCAGAATAATTCAAACAATTTCTGTTTGCATCATAATTCTTCATCAAATATGTATGCTAAATGTAGACAAAAGTGAAATCGAAGAAAATGATTTATGTAGGTACTCGCATATTTATTATAATGATAATAATAATAATAATAATTTATTAGCCCCAGTTATGTTTAAAAACATTTTAGGTTGTCATATACAGAAAATATGAAACGATCGATCACAATTTAAAATGAAAATGAGATACATATATGTGTATATAAAACGTTTTCAAAAAGTACAATATAAGACTTGACAATTTGAAAAAAAAAATCACAGTGGTCTCGTAAAAAAAGAAGTCAAGAAATTCATCATGTGAATAGAAAGCATTGTTCAGTAAAAGTTTCACAATTGCTGCTTTGAATTTTCTGATCGGTGCATTCTCCAGTACAATCGGCAATTTGTTAAAAAGCTTGAAAGATGTATAATTAATTTGCTGTTGCGTTTTTTGAAGATCTTTTGTTCCGAGTATCATAATCATGGTAGGAATTCAAAGATAAAGAGTTCTCATTTTCCTTTACAAACATGACACATTGTAAGATGAAAGCTGAAGGTAAAGATAGAATATTTAACTTTTTGAATAATGGTTTGCAATGATCTCGGTAACCAGCGTTTCTCAATACTCTCACGACTTTCTTTTTGGAGTTTGAAAATTCTGTCCCTGCTCACGGAGTTTCCCCAAAATATAAGTGCATAAGAAAAAATGGCATAGAAGTTACTATAATAATATGTAAGTGCAGTATCCACAGTGGTGAATTCCATTAGTTTTCTAATTTGGTATACTACTTTATTCAATTTCATTGCTGTGTATTTCAAAGAACTCTGTGTAAAAATGAAACTATAATCATTGTAGCCGATTTATCATTATATGCTAAGCATGACAATAAACGTGAAACACAATATTCATGTGAGCAAAAATTATTCGAAGTTATCTGCATTCCTAAAACGCATATCAGAAGATGGTTATAAACCTGAAAAATCGAAAACTTTGATGCCTCAGCAAATCGATGAGTTTTTATCTACTACGTCAGATGAAATCTTATTTAAAAAGGTTAGTAAACAAGCCATTTTGATAAAAATTCATGTATCCTATGTACTGGAGACATCTACAACCAATATAACTTATACGTGTCTTGTTGGTTGCATGCAGTTATATAGTATTATGTATTATGTTCTCAATTCCCATTCCTTTCGAATTATTTTGTAGGTTAATCCAATTTTCAGAGTAATGGGATCTTGTCGAGAAGAGGAATTATGAGTTCGTAGAAAAAGTATCCCACTGAGCAAGGAACATCCCGGGGAAGTTTGGTAACGTTAGTTTCTTGTACCTTTGGTGACCTTTTTGAGATTACATCTTTTATAAGTGATAATAACATATTTCTGGGACGTTTTAATTCGTCTCTTATTTGGGCTGACTCTGCTACATCCCCAGATACACATCGCTGTTTCGTAACAGTAAACTGACCTATGCACGTCTATGTGATCTTATTTGAGTCAATATTCCAACGCCTTCTCCAAAGTATTCTTATTTCATCCACAGAACATTTTATGTGACGTACTTTTATCATTTTCCGTGGGACTATTATCACGAATTTGATTCGAATCAGACACGTATATCTTTCTCACTTTGTGCTATTTTGCTAATATTCGCCATTTTGAGAGATGATGCTGTCGTGGTTATGACGGACGGCGTGGTTTGTGTTGTGTTGTGTTTGATGTGTCTCACAATAAAGTGTGAATTTTGACTTTTGAGGTAGACTAATAGTCAAGAAAATCAAGTGGAAGTGCGTTTTTTGGAAAACATGGTGAGATAGGTGAGTTGAATTACCAAAATCATAATTTTTTGTTTATGTATCAGCACACAGTTGTCTGATTCATAATGGCTTCAGTCATAATTTATTGTCGGGTACCTTCCTCAGTGAATAAGTATATAATTATGTGATAAATATAACTACAAGCACACAAGTCCTCTATTATTGTTCCTCTCTTTGTTTCAAATGAACTCATTGATATTATTTGATTTTTAGGGTTAGGTCATACGCAATATAGAAAAATGTATCACCAAATAGCTATATAGGTATATCAGTGACCAACAGGCTCCCTCAAAATAGTTTGATTCATGTCATTCACGGAAGCTTTCATTGGAATATATCAATGTCTTCAAGTACTACATTGTTTACAGGTCAGTACTTATGAAGTTTCCTCGGAACTTGATGGATACCTACATTACTAGAACATGCGTGAGCTCTGGACAAACCTACCCTGCTCTGACCTACTTTAGTAGAAATGATGGAATACACATCTGCTGTTTGCCTGGGAAGTTCAGGTATGAAAAAGTGAAATGCATATAGTATAGGTAATGTAAATTTATTACTTAGGTATGGTATATATTTCAGAATCCAAGTATCTGGGATTTCATTCAATCAAAAATAGAGGAATTTGGGGGACACAAGAATTAGTAAGTCCTTCATTCTTGAAAGGCGTATGAAAAAATGATGACAACATGAAAATCAACTCTTACATTGGGCTAGAACACTCTAAAATCCACCCACTGCCACAGAGGAAGGTGAAAGTTTTGAGAATCAAGAACACACCATCAGAAAGGAACCTAATCGAGGCAGAATCAAGGTAGGATGATATGAATATTTGATGCTGATATTGTGTATAACAATTGTTTGGTGTTTCAGGTGCATTTCATGAAATCCTCAGCTTTGAAATAGATTCGCCCATAGAATCATAAAACTGAACTAACTGAAGTGACATACGTGGAAGGATATAATTATAGTCAATCAAATATCCATTTATTTCCAATTGTACTTCTACCTTACATACATTGATTGAATACATTTCTGAATTTATTTTTCTCCTCTGATAAGTGGGTATTCAGCAATGGAGCTGACTATAGTAAATATCAGGGTGATCCAACATAAATGTTCCCTCTTGTAAATTGAGTCATTTCTGGACCGATCGCAGAATTCGAAAACTATTTGGTATATTTTTTAGCCAGAAAATGTATACTGGGTGTTTCAAAATATATGGGACGCACATCAAGATGTGATAGGGCAGCTCAAAACAATAATAAATGATCCTTCAAAGAATTGACCAGAACTCTTTTGTTTTCAAGTTGTTAAAAATACCTACCATTTTTTATTCCTTCCGATACATTTGAGATGATTGAACCAAGTTTGCTTCATTATACCTATTTATCGTTCTCTGTAGTGGGAGAAATGAGAGGACGCGTTCCACATATTATGAAAAACCCAGTGTGATAAAATCTAGCTATGTGATTATACCAGTATTAGTTTTCAGAATTCACGAATATTGGTCTAGAAATAACCAAGTTACAAGGGTGAACATTTTTGGAGTATCACCCTGTATATTTCGAAAGATCCTAGTAATGTTACAAGAGAGTCAACAATAATGAAACAGGTATGTTATGAAATCGTCCAGGGATATGTACTTTTTACATTCCGAAATGAAGACATGGTACGTGAATGCGTTATCGCAAATACTATTTGAGAATGTACTTTCACTGTAACAAAGCTGTTTCATGACACGTTTCAGTTTCGACTCTTACTCAACGTTCTTGCGACGTCCTGCGATATTGTACTGTTGGTGGACATATAACGACTCTAAGATAATCTTTAAGATGTCAATAGCACCAAATTCACAACGTAACAACGTATCTTGGTTACAATGAAATAACGTTAATAGTATGAGTTTTTGCACAGTGGGATAGTATGTAACGCGTTTGTAAACTCTTCTAAAGACTCGTTTATTAAATACTCGCTCCGCTCTGTTGCGCTCGTTCTTAAAATACTCGTTACTAAAAGGTCGTTTATAATACTTGTTACATAATATAGTACCGAATCAAAAGAAATAGACCGTTGTATAGAGATTTGAAATACCTCTCTATCAAGGTTTAATTTGACCCCTTGTACCATTCAAAAATTTTGAAGAGGTTGATCTGTAGAGCAGAAGGTTGAAACATTTTACGAAAAAAGAAATATATTTTTATTAATAAAAACTAAGGATTTTCAAAATACATTCATGGTATAGAGATACGGGTTTTATTCCATCATAGGTTTCCACACTGTATAACACATCTAATTGATGAGAATAAATTTGAGTGTCTCAAGGATCTGCAGGTTTAACTAAGGGATCTTTTATCGAATTGAACCACGTAAACGATAAAACGTATCATATCTAATAGTATCTGTTTCAACTAAATGAACATCAGTACACATTGCAAAATATTGAGATGGGGTCCAATTTTTACGATGTATTGCCACTTTTTCCGCAGTTCTTCATCTTTAGGAATTGTAAAAATCAAAACATACTTTTTTTTCGAAGCTTTATTTGACTGACACCCTTTCAAACAACAATTGGGCATCTTACTTTGAGAAACTTTGAAATTACTCAAAGAAAGGTAGACTTTTTCAACAAAATATGGAGATCAACTCTTCTGGACGCTTATAGAGTTCGTCGCTTAGAAACTGGGTGGAGTATTTATTTATTTTTTGTCAAGTCCGCCATGACGCATACCCATCAGAATAACGAACTGAGGGATCGACTGAGGATACGTCTGCATCAGAGGCGCGACAAGAGGACCAAGGAAACGTGTAAGAATACCATGGTGAACGGCAACATCACAGGGACAAATCCAGCTAAAGTCAAAACTGCCATCAGTAAGGTATGTACCTATTAGGTTAGTAACTCTGAGTAGCCATCTCCTCAGATGAGGCAAGGGAGACTGAGCTTTTTCAAAAATTTCCGGTGTTATCATTGTATTTCGTAATAACAGGTAGATCTCTGTCATGCAACCTACAGAATTAATTTGAGTATTTTGGTGACATTGATTCCATTCGAAAGTATTCATAATAGAATAAACATTGCGACTTGGCAACATTCAACGGGAATAATCAGCCTCTTATAAAATTTGTGAGAATTGCGCAGGAGCAAGTCCACTGACCTATGAACAACAAATGGGAGGATTATGCTATAGTTCTCAGGTTTACGCTAAATTGAACACGCGCATACCACGTGATCGGCTTGGAAAAGTTGGTTGACGAGTATGAGCAGTGCGTAAATCGTACTGGTCCGGCCTTGGATAACTTATATCATATCTATATGTACATAAAGTTAAAAGTTCAACTTTAGCTCCTAGGAACTAGAGGTCAACTTTAGCTCCTAAGAACTAAATATGTTGCCTAGCAACATACATATTTTTGTGTCAGTAATAGAAACGTCAATTCAAGAGCTAATTTTGGTATTAAAATCGATGACTCATGTGTCGGTTGCAGAAAAACGTTAATTATTATTGTTATAAAGGTGGAGGAGAGGGTGCCATTGCCATCTTCCCCGACCAACATCCCCCCCGCGCCGTCCGTCAAGTCGTCGGATTCTTCTTTGGCGACGACCTCGGGCCAAGACGACATCCACGGCCTGGTCAACTACATCGAGGGCCACACGGGAATGGACAAGGTCGAGCTGGCGCAGAAGAAGGCGGCCAAGAAGGCCCGGCAGCGGATGAAGAAGGTGAGGGTCGGCCGAGGGCCATATGCTCTTTCCTAATAACACAATGACATCCGTAAGACGTCGTAGAAACATCCATATAGGATGATAGGAACATATCTGGAAAACCCCTATTTTCCTTAGGGTCCCTTGATGCAAACTGACGTATTTGTCATCTTAACAGGATACGGACAGATTCTCGTCTCCTCTCACTCTAAAGTGTTTGTGAAACAGTTATATAGTTCCATCCTTATTCAATTCTGGGGATGAACACTAGAGTTTTAGGTCATATTGAGGTCATTGTCGTATCATACGTAATTTCCGTATGGAATTCCTGATTCAACTATACCAAGATATAGATGAACAATCCTCTAGTTTTAGAGTTCACTGCTCCAGCGTAATCTTTGCAAGGTAGGGAACATATGAATTGTTCTAAAAGCTTAATATATTTCAGCAAAAGGGACTGTTCTTAGACTGTATACCAGGGTTGACTGAATTGACTGAATGAATTCTGATTTCAAGCTGACCAGTTGTTTATCTATGAGGTGAATGTGCTAAGCCTTATGATTGAGAAATGGTGAAAACCTCGATGTGGGTATCTGAACTACTGTACTCATGTCATGTGTGCTAAATATATTTTCGTAAATCCAATTCGGAGAAGAATTTATGGAGTGACTAATATCACACTTGTTAGCGCCCCACGTTAACTTTAGGCTCAGTTTAATTTATAATCTTTAATTCAGGTTTTTTATTAAAAGAAATAGGTACTTATTTTCATTAATTATTGATATCGTACTATGGGACAGATATTCGCTGTCACTCGGTAGATATATTTTTATATTCTTCACAATCGAAGTTTTGTTACTTTTTTCCATGCCTGTCAAAACTGGTTTTGTAGACGGACTGGCCGAGAAGTGTGGTGTGGTAAAAACTTGACTTAAAAATTTGACGATGAGTTCGCGTCTGCTCTCATGGGCGTTACTCTCTCGCTCTTCTCTCAACTCATATATTGATTGAATTATATTGTACATACAAGTGAAATGTCATTAATGTGCCAACGAACCAGCCCTTCATACAGTCCACAAGCCCAGAAACCAGGATAAGGTGGTTGCAACCCTAAACTACGACTAGGAAGAGTCCAGGTGAGTCCTCTTTACTTGACCTTTTTTGTAAGTCGTACAAGCAACCATACCTTATTAAGAATAAAATTAACAACACTATACATAAAACTTCGTCTAGGACGAAAAGTAGGCTGATGGAAAGTAATACGTAAAATGTGCAGGAAAATAAAGAATAGGATATACCATGTTATACATATGATTTTTCCGCCTCCCTTAAATAAAAAGTCATTTTCAAATAATTTATTGATAAAAGTAACAAAGAAGTAGGTATACACTATACAGTATAGCTTATCGGCACGTTATTTTCACTCTTGCATCCTACATATTTTCAATTTGTGGTAGAGTAATAAGTATATAAAGTAATGTTCCAAGCAAGAATGTCTCCTCCAGAATTTGCAAGTAAACTTGCCGAGGTTCTTCTGAAAATATGCCTGGTATAATTTATGACATCAGGCAGTTTCAAAAATTCTGCAATTTTTTTATGAATTTTAGCAATAGAATTCTTTGCAACCATTAGGTAGAAACATTTTCCAGCTCTATAGCAGATACCAATTTTAGTTTTTTAATAGAATCGGATCATAATTACAAAATTCGTTCGCCATATTGGATCCGCTATCTTGAATTTCCCAATTTTGATCAAAAACCATAAAGTTCGACCCCGAAAACTCCCAGATACCAATCTTAAATAGAATCAGATCATAATTTGAAATTTCTTTTGCTATACATTGGATCCGACAACTTGAATTTTCTAAGTTTGACGAAACAATCATTATCTCCAATCCCGGAAAACCTCAGATATACCTTTCAATTTTATATAGAATCGGATCATAATCACAAAAATCGTTCGCAATATGATCTTCCTCAACAAGTAAATACCCTCTACATACATTCCTATTATTAAAATTTTGAATGGTTTTCTGTAGCGCCCATGGATGTGACGTGACAGCAATGTCAGGGATGCCAGTAGACAAAACTAAAGTCCCTGGATCATTGAAAAAGAATGCAGCTATATAATCTGTCCGTACCCTGTTAAGATGACTTTAACGCCAATTTCTATCAAGGGACCCTAATTTTCCTTGGGACATTCTTGGGATGTTGCTGGCAACTCCCGTGTCAGCATTTGCGATGTCATATAAACATCCCATGAGAATGTTTATGGGATGACATGCGATGTACCAGAGACATTCAGGGTACTTGATATGAAAAATCTTTAAGAAACTTTTAGGATGTTTTTTGTTCGTTAGCAGTGATGGATGGCACGGTATAACATCAAATGAATTATTTTCAATATGAAATTCTGGAAAGGGCCGACTTAATTATCAGATATAAAGTAACAAATATGTATGTAATAATATCCGAACATATAAGGCAGTTCAATTCAATAAATAATGGACGACGGTAACAGTTATTGGCGGTGGACCGACGGCTGTGAGTAACTAGTAGCAACCTGGTTGTACCGCCATCCATCGGCTGGTAGCAAATAGATTCAGCAATAAACATGCTGAACAGATATATTCCAATTTTTATGTTCATCATACGGTTATATGAAGTTAATAGGTATTAGATACTTACACCTGGTAATCTTATTGTGAATATTCGGTATAAATATTTTGATTTCTTATCGATCAAATTAGCTAGCTGATGTGGTTTAAGGTGATTATGTGAGTACAAGTACAATTTTGATTTGCATACCTTTCACTGATTCAAATGTCATAATTGTTTGAACTGTTCAATCATGTCAATCATCCTTAGCAATATATAGGTACTAAGCCATCAAGTATAGACAGTTGTTTATAGAAAAAGATGAAATGGAATGTTCCTAGAACATCCAATGGAAACATTGGATGGATGTCTCAGAAGAAAGATCTCTGGGATGTCGTACCTAAGTCTGAAACATTGGGACATTCGTCGGACCATAGTGGGATATACCAGCAATATCCCGTGTTATTTGGGTTTGCTCCCCAGATTGCACAAGTATGTTTTATGGACGTCCTAAAGACATCAGATATTAGGGACTTCCTCAAGACGTCTATTATTATCAGGACGGACGTCTTTAGGACGTCCATAGGACATACGATGTTACAAAACCAGAGGCCGAGGGCCATATGCTCTTGCTCTCCAGATTGCCCAAGTATGTTTGATGGACGTCCTGAACACATCAGATATTAGGGACTTCATCAAGACGTCCATTATTAGTAGGACGGGCGTCTTTAGGACGTCCATAGGACATACGATGTTACAAAACGAGAGGCCGAGGGCCATATGCTCTTGCTCCCCAGATTGCACAAGTATGTTTCATGAACGTCCTAAACACATCAGATATCAGGGACTTCATCAAGACGTCCAATATTAGTAGGACGAACATCTTTAGGACGTCCATAGGACATACGATGTTACAAAACTAGAGGCCGAGGACCATATGCTCTTGTTCCCCATCAGATTGCACAGATATCTTTTATGGACGTCCTGAAGACATCAGATATCAGGGACTTCCTCAAGACGTCCATTATTAGTAGGACGGACGTCCATAGGACATACGATTTTACAAAACCAGAGGCCGAGGGCTCTTGCTCCCAAGATTGCACAAGTATGTTTTATGGACGTCCTACAGACATCAGATTTTGGGGACTTCCTCAAGACGTCCATTATTAGTAGGACGGACGTCTTTAGGACGTCCATAGGACATACTATGTTACAAAAGAGGGACATAGAACGTCCGATTTGTGTCCGTTTCAGGTCTGTGACTTGAATCGTACATATAACGGAGATGAAAAATATAGCTCTCTCCATTTTCTTAGCTACCAAAGTTGATTATTTCCAGCAGCAATCGGAGCAAAAAATTGGTTTTCAAGAGAAATATTTTTTTTATTGAAGAATCGACACCTGAAGTTTGATGAGCAAATGAACAGCTGGTGGCATTTTTTATTACACCATATTCTTATTTCCACATCACATTCAAAAATGCTGAGGGCATTGTGAATTATTCATGTGATTTTTGAAAATGAGAAGAATTATCTGTAGGCGACATTATTTATTTATTACACTGGGTGTTTCATTATATATGCGCAAGACTTCAGGATGTGATAGCTCGTCCAAAAATATGAAAAAAAGTTCATATTAACCTAACCTCTTGAAGGGACTATTTTCGAGATACAGGGTGGTGAAGTTAGAAAAAAAAATTGTTCTTTGCGAATATCTCGGGAACCGTATATCGCACAGTGAACAGCTATCGTAAGCATTTTGTACTGATAATAAGCTATGTTTTGTTCGGAATTTATTTATTTTCATGTCATAATTGGTGGAGAGTTTGTAGGGGTACTGGGCGTTTATCTCCCCAACTTCTACACTACTACATAAAGCTCGGATACCTTGTCCCTTAAAGCACACTATAGCTGACAGTATTCAGCATTATTATCATGATCATTAGCTCCTGTTTTTTTCAATTTGTTCTGAAGGAGGAAGAGAGGATAAAAGCTGAAGAAGAACAAAAGAGGTTAGCAGAAGAACAGAGGAGAAAAGAGGCCGAGAAGAAGAAGGAACAGGCTAGAAAGTTAGCTGAAATTGAGAAGTCTAAAGCTGCTGCGGAAGCTGCAGCTGCTAAAGGTGAAGTTCATTTAATTTTTTCAATGAAGTATTCGTTATAAGCACAAACATAGTAGGATTTTTTTCATCTGATTCAAAAGGTGAAATAGGTGATAGTCATAGATTGTTCTTACCCATACAACTAATATCGCTCATTGTGGGATAGAATTTAATAGATTGATAGATATTTCATATAAAATATATAGTAGTTACAAAAACTTTTGTGCGCAGGCCAAACACAGTATTTCCAATATCTTTTGGACAATATTGGGGAAATCTTTTCTGGATTCCATCCATCTTTGGATCACTTCCTTCTTCGCATTCCTTCTTTGGATTACTTCCTTCTTCGAGTTCCTTTCATCTTTGGTTTCCATACTTCTTTAGGGACTCCTTACTTATTTGGTTTCCTTACTTTAAATTCCGTCTATGTTTGATTTCCTTCTCTGGATACGTTCTTTGGTTTCTTTACGCAGTGACTTGAGAGAGACGCGAGATCGCGAGATCCCCCACCAGTCGCCGTCGATGGCACCTATTAACATACACATATGCCGGCCTTATGGTACGCGGTGACCGTGACGCGAGTTTGCCGGTTCACTCCCATCCCAGAAAGTCGGGCCAATAGAAGTTATCACTTCAAAAACTAAGGAAACACGCTCTTATAAATAGCCAAACCAAAAAGAACAATAAAATAAAATTATAATAGTATTGAAAAGGAATATTCTCAGATAAATTATGAACATGAAAAAATGGATATATATTCATATAAAGAAATACATTGAGAATTTACATTCTCAATGGGATGAAAATATCAACTCTTTCTCGGTTTATTCAACCGAAAACAACTACTTTCCTGACTATACGCCAAGAAAGAATTTCTTTCCACGTCCTGTATGATGAATATCAATTTGTCATACATCGAAAAACAAAAAAAATTATAGTGTGTTGATAAATACACAACTTAGAAAATATTAACACCTCCGATAACACTTTAATCATTTGATTTTCTTCTTCTTTTTAGTTTGGCTATCTATGAAAGAAACTTCCATTCATTTTCTACCTCTTTTTGATTTCACTATCTATAAAAGTTTATTTCTTTAGTTTTCCAAACTACTATTCATTTTCTATTTTTTAGTTCGACTAACTACAAAATCGTTTTTCAGTTTTTTTTTTCTTTTTTTGCAAGTACCTGATTTCGACGAAAGAATCTCCTACCTGACCCCAGAAACTCCCAGATACAAATTTCGAATAGAATCGAATCATAATCAAAAAACTCGTCCGCCATATTGGTTCTGCCATCTTGAATTCCCCAATTTTGACGAAAGAATCATAATCTCTGACCCCGAAAATCCTCAGAAACCAACGTTGAATAGAATCGGATCATAATTATAAAACTTCCGCCATCTTGAATTTCCCAATTCTGACGAAATAATCATAATCTCCGACCCAACCCCGAAAACCCCCAGATACAAATTTTCAATAGAATCGGATCATAATCACAAAACTCGTCCGCCATATTGAATCCGCTATCTTGAATGCCCCAATTTTGATGAAAGAATCAAAACCCTCAGATACAAATGTTGAATAGAATCGAATCATAATTACAAAACTAATCCGCTATATTGGATCCGCCATCTTGAATTCCTCAATTTTAACGAAACAATCATAATGTCCGACCCCGAAAATCCATAGATACAGAAGTTGAATAGAATCGGATCACCGGCATACTGGATCCGCCATCTTGAATTTCCAAATTTTGACGTAAGACTCATAATCTCCAACCCCGAAAATTTCCAGATACCAATTTTTCGATAGAATCTCCATAAGTCGTAACTTCTACGGGGTTAGGGTAGCATACAAACACAAAAATTCATGGCCTAACTGGGGCTCGAACCCATGGCTTGGTGGGAGTTTCCATACGAACTTAGCGCCATTGTGGTCTCGACCACCCCGCCTCACAATCAAGAATGAAAAATGAAAAAGAAACCAGATCAGCAGCCAATTTTTATCTTGGAGTTATTCTCTCGAATAGTCCAATAGTTTGTGGTGGAGGTACACTTGAGAAATCAAGAGATTTAGGTCAATTTAAAATCTCTTCTCACTTTGGTGAATTCCAATACATTCAAAACCGAGTTGTTTTTATAAGGCTCATTCTCAATCAATTGAAAAACCAAAGCATGGCTTTGACAACTGGAGTTTCACTAATTGGAACTAATTTGTGATCCAGCTTTGAAAGAGCTGAAGAAAAAGTCGAAGAAAGAAAGGCAAGCTGAGAAGCGCCGGATGGCCCAAAACCCACACAACCCCACAACGACGGAGAAGAACAAGAGCAATGTGATCGAAGAAACCATCCCAGCGATGGTGACCATCAAGAGAGTGGCCGAAACTGGAAGCGGCACGCCTACGGTCACCATAACTCTCAAAGGTTCCACTCCCGATCAAGACAAGCTGCTCTACACCCTCGTCAATGGCTCCGATGACACGAATATTGAAGAGACGAAGTGTAAAGATTCTACGAATAATAATAACAGTAGTGGTAAGTCTTTCAATAATACAGGACAGAAAATATAATCCTTTTAATGCTACTTATTTACTAGGTATATGCCCACCCAACCGTGAAATACACTGATCACCAAGTTAATATTCGTTATGGTTGAGTTCACATGTTAACCTTAATCTTATATCACTAAGCTATACAGATGACTGTATGCAATAGGTCCACTATCCTTATTGATTACTCAATTACTATTCTTAAAAAATATCTCTAGACTCATATGCATTTAATTTCCTAAAATTATGAACCCATTAACGCCGACATTATTTTTCTCTTTCTCTAATATTTCATAGCCTTCAACTAGTGTGAAATACTTTCGAAAGAAGAAAAATGTATATAGAATCATAAATGAAATTCAGATTTTCAAAAAATCTGCTGTTGCTTATTCGGACAGTGACACTCGACATATTGCCTTTTTGGTAATAGATATGACAAAAATAATTCAACCAAATGTGAAGAGGAACCAATTCAATACAGTTCATTTAAGAACATGATATAACGCTTGGACATGTCGATTGATATCTTTAGAAGCGCATCCTTTTGAATAAAAACTTTTTATACACGGTGTGTCCTGTAACATCGGCTAATATCAACTTTTTTATTTCAAAGCAACACCCTGTATTTCATTCAAGTTTTGGATTCTTCAGAAAATTCTAGGCATATTTAATGTACAATGTCCCATACTCATCTTCAACTGTTTCGGAAATTTGTTTTATGAACTTCCAGTTGTGTACGAATGTTATTTCTATAACCAATCATCTATAATTTGATATGCAGCTAACAAGACTATTACTATTATAATACTAACAACCACTGACATAAAGTTAGACAACAATTTGTAATAAATCTGAAAACAATCAATATCTCCTTAACAGTTGAAGATGGGTATAGGACATTGTATATGAAAGACGTCTAAATTTTATGGAGAATTCAAAAATTGAAAGAAATACAAGGTACAAGGCAATTGTTATAAGAAAGTTGGCATTGGCCGCTGTTACATGACACACTCTGTATAGAGAAAGTTTTTGTTGGAAAATATTCTGAAAGCATCAATCAACGTGTCCGAGCGTTTTTGCGAACACCCCTCCGTTTATTCATTATCGAATTTATTCAATTTGGCTAATACCAACTGATAGACACTGTATGGTTAGCGTGTGCTAAATTTGTTTTCCTTAGAAAAAACCTGTCTGACCATTGAATAACTCAGGACAAGATTCATAATTAGTTTGCATACTCCTGATTTTTCGACTTTAATAAAAGTTTTGCCTTCATTATTTTTGCAATATTTCCAAGAGGGAAACATTCCATATCGCATAGTTGTCTACAAAGTTGTCAAATGGAAATTAAATCGGCATTTTTCAATAATATCCCTATCCGGATTAGCTGTAAAACTGATCCAGTCACTTGAAATTAGAGCAAAAACATTTTTTTGGCCATTTAATATAATAGTATTGCCAATAGTTTAACTAATTCAATGACACGAAATGTCTCACTGTTCTTAGATGGAATATGGTCAGTCCTGTAGTTATTCCTGCAATTTCGTTCACAGGCAAAAAGAAAAAGAAGCAGAAAAAGCAGGAACAGACGAAACCTCCGCAACCCGCCGCTATCGTAAAAAAAGAGATGACAGTCACTGTAGAGCTCGACCCGAATAGAAGCAATCATGAATCAAAGCTGTCTGTGAAGCCTATGACAAAGAATGTGATCGAAAAGAAGAAGGCTGCTAATAAGCAGCAGAAAGAGAACAAAAAGACTGTTGGTGCAGATGACCTACCTATTCCTATGCTCCGTTTACCTCCAGGTAAGGTTCTCACTAGCCCATACTGATGAGATCAATGTGGTTAGCCTCTCCAGGGTGATCTCTGTTGGTCTAATTATTTTAGAAAGTTCCTGCACAATTTCAGAGCAATTAATGTAAATTTATAGTATTCAGTGTGACTCATATGGAAGCAGAACACTCTCTGTATACCTTTTCTGAATTGTGGAGCTTGAAAAAATGTACATGACAAAAACCAAGAACTACTGTGTATATCAAGAAATCATATCAACTTTTTTCATATAAAATCTGAAATCACCATTGAATTCAGCACCACCTCAGAAGGTTATATACCAAATTTCAAAATAAAAATGTTTGTTTTTCTTTTTCGGTTTTGTTTGGGTTAGAATCAATCATTGTATTTTCTGTCTTGAACACAGTTTTCACTTGAAACCAATTTGTTGTAATTGAAGGTTGTTTATGTTGTGGTGTATTGTCTTTTTTTTTCAAATTTGGTGGATCGATTGATCAATGAAGTTTTTCTCATAGGAGTTGATTTGAAGAACGTTCTTGATCTGCTAGTTTTTTTTTGCGAATTTGTTGGTCAGATGATATGGATTTGCCTCTATCATGAAGTGATTTGTTAATTCCTTTCATGACAGTCTCCTGATGATTAGATTGAAAATTGAGGTGGCTGTTTACGATATACATTCGTTTAATTTTCAAAAGCTTATAGATGTGGATTGCTTCAAAATGTACTGAATTTTTCATAAAACTGTTGGCATCCATAGGTAACCAATGATAAGATACAATGAAATAGGATTTCACGATAATATGGCAGATAGGTCACGAATGCGACTTACTTGGATTGTAGCTTGATGTATTTTCCGGCTTATTCTGGAAAGTTGACTGCTGATGGAGCTCAGCGTCTCTGGTCGGGAGGGCCCTCCGGGTAGTTAAAAACTGGATTCTGAGTAGCCGTCTTAAACTAAGTTCTGTTGTTCATTCACACTCACAAAACATGCACCATAGGTTTTTCAAAAGAAAACAGCGTTGTTAACGGTATAAAGTCTTTCCGATTTGTTGAATACGCGTATATGCGATCGAAAGCGGCGGTAAAAGCTTAATGAATGCCTTCCGCGTCGTTCTCGCTTTTTTGTCCGAGTCCGAAAAATCTCTTTTTCTCCTCGCTGACAAGAAAAACTCGTCCTTGGGACGATGATAGAAGTCGCAGAAGTGACCCATATATATGTGAAGAATAACCCTTTCCGGCCCAAATTATTGAATCCGTTGAAAAAAATATATCATTCGATAATTCTATCATTGATAAGATTCTGAAGGTTGTTAAAGAAGAAAAAATGCCAGACATGTAGTTTTTATGACTCAAATACTATGATGCCATATGGCATCATTGGGATAATCCTAAACAATTGCCGAATGATCTGAACGCGCCTATACGTGGATATAATATATGATGCCATATGGCATCACTGGGCTTGAAAGGGATAAGAAATAGATCAGTACATTTCGAGGGTCGAACGTTATGCATTTTGGTTACTTATCGTGAAAACAAAACGATTTTATGAAAATATATTGAAATGAGTCATGGGAAAATACAGAATTATATTAGGAAATACGACTTGTTGAAACAACATTTGTTACGAAAATGTAATTGGATTTATTTTTTAATAAGAACATCTAAGACTGGTAGATTAGATATCTAAAGTTATTTTTTAGGTGGATTCCATGTTATTGGTTGTTGGTCGTATTTTTTCAAAATGTATGTATTGTTATAGTGGAAAGAAAAGAAATCTTCATCTGGGCACAAATAACTCATGACAAAAAATGGAACAACTTTTATAATAGTACACCCATAACATAATTATCAGAAATTCACTACATTAAATCACAAACATCAATTATTGGACGGAACACATAAAAACTATGAAATATTCAAAAATGAAGGTGCCGGCACCGCAAAGTTACGCAGTAGACGAGCACTAATCGTTGTGAGAAATATAATTTGTTGTTTTCATTGTACATACGTAGAATTTGGTCCGGTGGCGGTCTTAATTGAGGGCTTGCTTTTGGTGATGGAAAGCATGTTTGAAATATTGAAAATATCACAACTCGTGAGAAGTAATTTACCAATGTACAGGGTGGCTGGAATTCGAGGCTCATCATTGGGATCTCGTAGACGGTAAGAGAAACAGGGTCCGTTAAATCATGACAAAGTTGCACAATTTGATGCTGATCAAAATGCCGCCTCAAAAGTTCGTAAATTCCGAATATTTCCTAAGATATTTGAAAAAAACCCAATATCCGCGATTTCGTTTCATTTGGGGTGATATGTCAAAATGAATATCATATTAGCATTGCCACTTTTTCTGCTCTCTCCAATGGCGTTGATAGATTTATGATCCAACGTTTCGTCTTCAAGGAGCCATCATCAAGTTTGTTTATTTAAATGGTCGAAAAAAATTTTTCGTTCCCAAGAAACTTTAATTCCAATTCTGAATCGAACGACATATAAGACTTTGCAATCTTATTATCCTACGTTTCGGACCAAAAAATCATTATCATTGTTATTTGATGATGGTTACGAGGAAACGAAACTTCGGAACTGATGACGGCGTCTTGTAGAGAAAGAATAATGACTGCGAAAATGTCAAATTCATTCTGGTCTATCTCTCGGTCTATCTATATTTAAGTTTTCAATAAAAAGTTATTCTCCAAGTTTCTAATTCTAAAAAATGATCTCTTTCTGATTTTACTATGAGAGGTAGATCAAAATGAATTTGACATTTTCATAGCCATTTTTCCTTCTCTACAAGTTGAAATCATCTGATTTTTGATCCGACGTTTCGTTTCCTCGTAATCATCATCCAATAACACTGATAATGAACTTTTGGCCCGAAACGTGAGATAATTGCAAAGTGTTATATGTCGTTGGATTCAGAATTGGAATTAGAGTTTTTTAGGGACAAAAAATTAATTTTCGACCATTTAAAAAAACAAAATTGATGATGGCTCCTCGAAGACGAAACGTCGGAACACGAATCTATCAATGCCATTGGATAGGACTGAAAAAGTGATAATGCTATTATGACACTCATTTTGACATATCACTTCAAATAAAGCCACAAAAAATAAAAACGAAATCGCGGATATTCGTTTTTTTTTTTCTTCAAATATCTTCGGAAGTATTAGGAATTTCCAAACTTTTGAGGCGGCATTTTGATCAGCACGAAATTGCGCAACTTTGCCATAATTTAATAGACCCTGTATCTCTTACGGTTTACGAGATCCCAATGGTGAGCCTCGAATTCCAGTCACCCTGTACATATATATCCATATAAATATCAATTTTTTTATCTCTTGGGGCGTGCGAAAGGCAATGTCTAGAATGTTCGGAGAACATCATGCGTACCTAGGAAAGGGAGAAGAGGTAGGTATTGGAGTTTGAACCCTCGGAGATTATAAGTTCTTGGGATTACTTCCTTTGGCAAAGAATTCCAAAGCTTTGCCGTTATATATAGAGGAATCAGTTCTGATAAAGAGATGTTCGACATATCTCAAGGTTAACGACGAAAAGATGTGCTAACTGGGCTTGTCGAGTTCGTCTGACTGGTATTGCTTGTGATGGAATGTTAGCAAATATTTCTGAAAAACATTTTCCGTGGAATTATTTATAGGAAAGAGAAAGGTCCGCTGACATTTCTACGATGTTCCAATGAGGTCAAAGAAGTAGTGAGTGTGGCATGAATAGGTATGAATGAATTGCGGTGTCTGTCTATTGTTATTCAGTTATTCAGTATTTAGGCCTCAATGGATTTCCCCATAAACCTCGTGATTTTCTCGAATTTCAGGTATTACAATAACGAAAGTGGAAGGACCTGTTCCGAACCGCAACTACCAGGTAGGCAACGTGGAAGACCGCAAGGGCTCGACGATAAACGTGGACAAATCGGGGGTGATCGTCGTCGACACGGAGAAACTCATTCACAACAACCAGGCCGACGGCGGCCAAGCAAAGTCGAGCAAAACCGGCAAGAAGAACAAGAAGAAGAAGAACAAAAAACCGGCCGAGGTGCCGGCTGAGACTGCGCAGGACGGCAAGAAGATGATCACTCTGAAGAACCCCATATTCCAGGTGAGACGTCGGAATAAAATTTCATATATACAGGCTGATTTTAAAATGAGTGCATATATTCAAGACATATATATGAGAGAGTCTAACAAAAATTACTAAGTCTTCACATTAACGAGAAATTTCATTTTGAAAATTGAACATAAAATGCTTCGAAATTCGAGTACGCCACTGGGAGGCAAGTGAAATCTGCGGAATCCCAGGGAATCCCCAATTCGTCATTCACTAACGTCAAAACAAGACAGTGATGCCAGATTGTTTCAAAGACGAATATCCTGATAAAAATTTGTCACTGAATGAATATGAATTGGAATAGGTTATGGAAACTAATAGAGGTGATGGATCACGAAAGACGGAGAGAAACATGAGGGGAATGATAGAACGTCCCCCTTCCTTCAATTCGAAAATAAGGCCCCAGCGGGTAGATACAAAATATTAGCAGACAATAAATAGGTACACAACATACACAAAGTTGAAAATCGACTCACCTAGTAGATTTTCTCATACCTGCTCGAACAGCAAAACTCCCGAGAGCAAACAAATACTAATATCGAGTCCATTCCAGACTAATATCGTCCTGTGTTCTTGTTGGTTCATATTCGCACTTAAACCATCGAAAACGACTCGACGACGACATATCCTTCCTGGCAATCTCACATTGAAAAGCACGTTCACGACCATATCACGATTATCAGGACACAAGACACAACATCCAATTATTTTATTTTTTATTTTACGTTTACAATTATTTTACAAACCAGCAATCACACAAACAAAACTATTATCATATGATCAACATCATTTCTCAGAACAGTAGTATCTGTGACCATAGATTTCCTCTTTGCTGTGACCTTTGACAGTACTAACTAGGATTGTTCGCGTTCTATTACTATTTCACGAAGATTGTTACGATTTGTCATGAATCTATTACTATTTGCTATTAGCACCAAAATATGTTCCAATACTAAAAAATCTATTTCTGTGCTCAGCGGATAATTATGTTCCGTTCTATGTTCTATATTCATGTCAAAACTGTGATTAGTGCGATTGGGTTTGACAAGAATGACATTCCGAATGTCAAATGTCAGATTTTTCGAGTCTATTACCTTTTGATGCAAATCTGATACCTTTTTCCAAGGAAATCTATTACGAAAAAATCAGACCCAGGAACAACACTGACTAGTAAATGTAAAGTTTTGTTTCTGACAATTTGCTTGGAATGTGACGATGCATTTCTCAAACATTGAGCTGAATGATATGGTTCTTATGTCGGGTCGTTATTGTGCGGGGCCCATGAGACTCGAAGGACACGAAATTGTAGCGATGCAAGGAAGGGTCTAAAGGATTTTTCAGTAAAAGAACTTCCAACCGTGAGGTGTTAAGCTATACGCTATTCGAGCTTATGTGTAGAAATCTTGGGTGAGTCCATTTTAAAGTTTTTGTATTATCTTTCTGAAATTCGAGACCAGGGTTAACTTCTTCCCCATGTACATTTTCTCGATTATACATTTTATTTAATATCTCCTAATTTTCATGTAGAGTGGCAACGTCGCTTCGTTCATCACGGTCGACTGCGGATCGCAAACGATAGTTGTGACAGAAGTAGAAATCTGGGCGGAAAAAGGGTATTTTGCCCCAAATCTATTTTGATCCTAATAATATTTTTAATAGTGCTATTCGGTTGAATACCTCAAGCTTCCTTAGTGTTTAAAATATATGCACTTATTTTAAAATCAGCCTGTATATGTAACGGGTGTACAACTATGAAGGGAAAAATCAGTCGCATAATATCCTCTCGAGTTTTATAAATGTGAGTTCTAGTTGAGAAACAACTTTTATATTTGTGGATAAAAAACAAAAAAGCTGGAAGCGTCAAGATTCCACTTTTGACAGATAAATGCTAACATGTCAGGTTAGGTTCAAAGTAAATGAATCTACTCGACCGTCCACTTATGGTCTATTGTGGTTGACACCAATGGGATCATGTTATGAAGGGAAGTCTAAATAAACGTTATCCTGACCACATATTCATCGAGAAAATCGAACAACAAATGAATTATTCAATCTTGAAAATGCAATACCTGTGAATTCAAACGCTACTTAGCTGTGATGCCATCAGTGTCTCCTTGCAATTTGATTCATAGGAGTTGGTGACTGCTGGGAAGCACGCCGCTGTTGCCAGGTCTATATGAAATACTGGAAGTGATCTTATGTGTAAGATAGTGCAAGAAATGCCATGATTCGAAATGACTATGTAGTAGGTGATTAGTTGATTGGTGATTCACTTCTGATCACATTCAATTTACTCTGAACTTCGAAATATTCCATCAGTTTTGAAATTACCTATCATAAAATGTAATGCTGGCATCTAACAGTGACGTTTTATATATGATTTGGTTTGAGTTATGATTTCGTTGACTAATTATTGTTATAATCGATAAATCGAACAGTGTTACTATTGGCGTTTTCGGAAACTTACTTGGGTTGATCAGATCCCTAACCTATACGTTCGGTTACCTAAACCGAGTCACCTACTTCTGTTCGGAAAATTGAGTGTTGCTAACTCAATCACTGACTCGGGTTGGTTTTTCGTGACCCTGCTCAAAAGCAGGGTCGCCATAGCCGCAAAGGACACCGCATGCGCATTACCAATTTATACGAAATTTATGTCAATCAATTCTTTTTTGATCTCCATAATGAGATTTAGTAATGTACTACTCCCTTGTACAGTCACAACTGTCTTATGGTATAATAGGATGGAGTAGTGCTACCAATACTTATATGAAAAATGTTGAATTTGTACGAAAATGGATTTCAAAAATTATATTCAACAAGAAACGCACTCATGCAACAGATAGCCTATATCGAGAATCAGGTATCTTGGACTTGAGACAACTATTCGGCCATACACTATTGATGTACCTCTTCAGAAATCAACACAGAATCCGTTATAAACAACATGCCCATAACACAAGAAATAAAACATCAGTGACACACAAACCCAATGTTAAAAAGACAATTGGTTTGAGGAATCATACTTACTGAGCACTAAAATTGCTTGATCTTCTTCCGCTTGAAATTAAAAACGAACATGAAATTCAAATTCAGAAAACAAATTATGAAATGGCGTCATGAAACACCCAGGATGGCTCATCACGAAATCACCAATAACTGCTAACATCTAAAATTGGTAATAACAAAAATGAAAAATAATGCTTACCTTACTTCACCTACTTATATTATGTATAATATTTCCTTCCTTTGTACAGTTGAATGACTATTATTTATTTATTCCTCATGTCCTTTATTGTATGTCTGGTGATCTTGTTATATTTTTTATTCCAGGAATCATCCATATTTACTATCTACTTGTCATTATATTCTTCAAATTTAGTTGAACTACATACACGTAGATTATTGTTTTATATTATATATGAATGATAATATAAACTAACTCAGCTATATATTATAAATGATATTATGAAATGTGGCCGATCACATATCCTCATTATCAAGAACGTAGTTCTTTTAGAGATGTATGATCAAATGCTATATCATAATAATTAGATCAACCATTCAAGTACTTTTTACTTCTGGTCTTTCCCACACGCGTATCATAGTATCATTGAAATACGAGTTGAATGTATAGCTAGGTGTGAAGTTTGTGGTTTTATGAGCCAAAAAAGGAATTTGTCGACATCACACGACACATATAAGTACTTGAATATAATGTGAATATTTTCAAAATTCATGAAACCACAGAAAAAAGATTGAATTATGTGTTCCTGACCTGACGTTAGGAAACTTTGAACACGAGTAGGTGATCTGAATTTTTTGTCACGTGACCTCTCTGGATCTAGTTAACAACCCAGAGTAAGTTTCCGAGAACACTTTATATCTCAAGTAATCATTCCCAGAAAATATAAATGCTAATGTGGTAACTATGTTTACAAGAGAAAGCGCTGAAGCAACTGGCACTAACACAATGTTGCCAAGTTAAAATACCTCATTCTCCACATAACTTCACTGTTCTCATTTCTCAATATTATTGACACAGAACCAACTTTCATTTGCATTGCTCCAGCCGAGACCCGTGCTTCTCTAATTGCTCTGTCACAGCTCCAACAAATTTCCGTCTTTTTGTCGTCGATTTCCAATTCTTCAGACATAGAACCATCTTTTATTAGCTTTTGTGTATCGTGTCGTTCCAGTTGCTACAGTCAAAGCCCGTGCTTCTTCTCTCATTGCTCCTCTAGTATCATCTCTCTGACACAGCTCCAACAGGTTCCCGTCTTTTCGTCGTCGATTTCCGATTCTATCAAACGAGAATCAACTATATTTCATTCGCATTTGTGTATCGAGTCGTTCCAGTCGCTCCAGACGAGACCCGTGCCTCTTCTCTCGTTGCTTCGTTAGTATCATCGCTCTGTCACAGCTCCAAGTTTCCTTATTTTGTCGTCGATTTCCAAAGCTATCAGACATAAAACCATACTTTATTCGCATTTGTGTGTTGTTCCAGTCGCTCTATAGTATCATCGCTCTGTCACAGCTCCAAGTTTCCTTTTTTTGTCGTCGATTTCCAAATCTGTCAGACATAGAACCATATTTTATTCGCATTTGTGTGTTGTTCCAGTCGATCCAGCCGAAACCCGTGCTTCTTCTCTCATTGCTCCGCTAGTATCACCGCTCTGTAACAGCTCCAACAAGTTTCCGTCTTTTCGTCGTCGATTTTCAATTCTATTAGGCGTAGAACCAACCATATTTCATTAGCATTCGTGCATCGTGTCGCTCCAGTCGCTCCAGCCGACACCCATGCCTCTTCTCTCGTTGCTTCGTTAGTATCATCGCTCTGTCACAGCTCCAAGTTTCCTTTTTTTGTCGTCGATTACCAAAGCTATCAGACATAAAACCATACTTTATTCGCATTTGTGTGTTGTTCCAGTCGCTCTATAGTATCATCGCTCTGTCACAGCTCCAAGTTTCCTTTTTTTGTCGTCGAATTCCAAATCTGTCAGACATAGAACCATATTTTATTCGCATTTGTGTGTTGTTCCAGTCGATCCAGCCGAAACCCGTGCTTCTTCTCTCATTGCTCCGCTAGTATCACCGCTCTGTAACAGCTCCAACAAGTTTCCGTCTTTTCGTCGTCGATTTTCAATTCTATCAGACGTAGAACCAACTATATTTCATTCACATTTGTGTATCGTGTCGTTCCTGTCGCTCCAGCCAAACCCTGTGCTTCTCTCATTGCTCCGCTAGTATCATCTCTCTGTCACAGCTCCAACAAGTTTCCGTCTTTTCGTCATCGATTTCCAATTCTATCAGACGTAGAACCAACTAATTTAATTCACATTTGTGTATCGTGTCGTTCCAGTCGCTCCAGCCGAGACCCTTGCCTCATCTCTCGTTGCTTCGTTAGTATCATCGCTCTGTCACAGCTCCAAGTTTCCTTTTTCTGTCTCCGATTTCCAAAGCTATCAGAAATAGAACCATCTTTTATTAGTGTTTGTGTATCGTGTCGTTCCAGTCGCTCCAGCCGAGCCCCGTGCTTCTTCTCTCATTCCTCCGCTATCATCGCTCTGTCACAGCTTCAACAAGTTTCCGTCTTTTCGTCATCGATTTCCAATTCTATCAGACTTCGAACCAACCATATTTCATTAGCATTCGTGCATCGTGTCGTTCCAGTCGCCCCAGCCGAAACCTGTGCTTCTTCTCTCATTGGTCCTCTACCACAGCTCCAACAAGTTTCCATTGTTTTCTCGTCGATTTTCAATTATATTAGACGTAGAACCAACCATATTTCATTCGCATTTCTGTATCGTGTCGTTCCAGTCGCTCCAGCTGAGACCGGTGCTTCTCTCGTATCATCGGTCTGTCAGCTCCTACAATTTTCCGTCTTTTTGTCGTCGATTTCCAAAGCTATCAGACATAAAACCATATTCTATTCGCATTCGTGTGTCTTTCCAGTCGCTCCAGCCGAGAGCCGAGCTGTTGCCCGCCGATAGGAGCGCCGTTGACGGCTCTGCCCCCGCCGCCATCTTCACCAACGAGAACGGCATGGTGACGATCAGGAGCTCGAGGCTGCAGCGGTCGCTGGCGAACGGCGGCGCAGGCGCAGCGAACCAGATGCCGCTGATGCCCGTCGCGAATCTGATGCCCAAGACGAACCAGGTATGATGATAATAATTGGCTGGCCAATAAAAAAATACAAAAATACGAACATTTATCACATTATTTTTTGTGAAACAAACTAAAAATCCGATAAGTGTCTACACATCTGTTTTGGTATGAAAATTATGCATCAAAAATATTCTTTCCACTACTAGTTATAGAACCTATCATCATGTACTCCTTTTGAAGGCGTGAATTATGTTTTCTCTACCAAGGTTGTTTTCGTCATTTTATGAACTACCAGTGTTTTAATGTATTTTAAAATGAAATACAGCCGAATACAGTTGATTAAGACTTTATGATTTGTGTAAGCTTGAGAACGACATTTTTTTCATATTAATATCAATACAATACGTCATGTCTACAGTTGAGAAGTGACAGTGTCTTTATTAATTGAGGTTAGTCTCCACTAAACAAGATTACTTATCATTAAAGGTTGGTCTCCACTGGACAAGCCTAATCTTAAACATAGGTTAAATTCTACTCCTTAAATACTGAGACGCTGGAGAGCTTTTAAACCTCGGCCATTTCGGGAGCGCTTGTACGTTGAGTTATTACTTTCACTATTTTCATAATCATTTAACTCCAGACTATCATTTTGAAGTGATGCTGGAAATCCTAATGAGTCCTAGGTGTTCTATATGATGAACTTTGATCAATACTGCGAGATCTTACAGAGCCTGGACTATTAATGTTTTGGGAGTAATAATAATAATGATAATAATAATAATAGGGGTTCGATTTTTAATATCCTCGGCGAAATCCAGCGAAGCTGTTCTACTAAACCGAGTACCATATTACAACGTCTGAATTAAATAACTACCTACATAGTAGCTTAAATATAAACTAATGTATCTAATGAATATAAGTATCACATAATTATTTATTCTAAAATGAAGTTTATTCAGGGAAAAAAAAATAATTTTGTGGACTTTTTGTAGTGAAACATTGATTTATTCTTGAACTCTTGTGTGGGAGAGAAGTCCTGTATATCTAGAGAAACGATCATGAACTTCTGAAGAGTTTGTTAATCGGTGATGAATGTAAATAGGATTTTCATCTTTTAATACTTTGTGAACCAAGCAGGCAATATGCAATTGATGCGGTACGGGCTCGATTTGTACGATGAAAAAAAATACAAGATAATTTCTATGATAATACGAGTTATATTAATTTAGCATCTGCCTATAATTCCATTTGCCAGGGTTACCTGTTAGCTCAATCGTGAATAGTAGGTTCGATTCAATCCAAATGGTTCAGCGACTGATGAAAAAACGTAAAAAAAAAATTGTAAAATTTGTATATCGCTACTTCAAAGTTGGGAACCAACTCCCCAGAAGTCGAAGCTTGTGCGGGGTTAGGAAGAGCGGGACCTACAGCTTATAGTGGAATCCGAACCACTTCTAGGGCATCGAGGTGCTGCCAGGATTACAACCATGAATCACACATTTTAAAGAAAAATGCTCAGCCGATAGCCGGATTCGAACCGACAGTACCTCTGCATCGTGAACGGCTATCTAGCGAATTTCAGCGCATAGACAAACTCGGTCACGGAGCCCCATACGTATATATATATAAATAAAATACTAGATAGTTTATATGAAAGGGCGCCACCCGCTTGCCCAAACCCTGTGATGCTAAAGAATACCTAAATGGGAAGGTAATCAAACAAAAAAAAAGATACTATTATGCACTATATTGAATGTTACTCTACAAATATAAGCAGCGGAAGGTATATAGGAGTCTTAGAATAGCCTTGATTATATACTGAATACTCAAAGACAATTAAGAATCGTTGGATCCAGTAATACGCTCCAGATATCCAGATGTACATCAACGTTTCATATTAGATAAATCAAGATTGGTAATATAAAATAACTCTCGAACACTATATCTTGTAAACGCAAAATATCCTCTGGATGAAAGCTCCGGCTGGAATATGAGTTGGGTCCGTCATATATGATGACTAAAAAAATAATATTAAAAGGAAAGAGCTTATCTTGCTTTTGCTTGGTCCCTCGATTTTAATCGAAAGGTTGGTCCCTCAATAATTACAAGTCGGGGAAGTCTTCTTGGAATGCCGGCTTCAAGTTGATTATGTAATGACAGTCTGATTCTGTGATCTAAATATCTTGCGTTGGTGGGTAACAACCATGAAGAGCAAACCCTGTTGAATGTTGGAGGGTCCTCTAAGTCCTTCTGGAAATGGTCAGGACTGGACCAATGTGTTATGTTTAACGACGTAAAATCCACTGAAATGCTATTTGTAAGGGTGGTCAACACAAAGTATAACTCTATGAATAACGATAATAGCAATATTTCACTCTAACTAGAGGTGATTTACAAAAAATCCTCAAAATAAAGAGAATCAATATGGCAACCCTTTACAAAACGAAAATGTCGAATCACTTTCTGTCAATCGAATTCTGATCAATCTCTGCTTGTGGTAGAAGGCACGGATTTAAAGAGAAGGACTCGAGAAACCCTATTTCAAAAAACATCTTTTACTATGGAAGTTCTAGAACAAGTTGGCAACATTTAGACATATATCGAAGCATCAGACAAGATTGATTCCTAAATTGACCCATATGATATATTTGTTCTTGTCTTACCTGTCGCTCACGGCGATACATTGAAGAAAGACAATTAGTTCGAATTTCGTAATATTCGCGTGCACTGTATGCGAATGCGCTGCTTCGAGATTTCGGAAGCCATACAGTACGGATTATTATTGCTTTCCATGATGCGAATATCGAATGTAACAAGACCCTGAAAACGTTTTTGATGCAATACAGGACGATGCAACGTATTTCGCCCGAAACACAATTTACGCCTATTGAACGTATTAAGCCATCCCAATTCGCTTAGGTTTTGGGAAATATGGTCTATGGTTCTGAGTGAGTAAATGAATCTGACACAGGAATTCTGAATTCTTCGATTTCTCACTGACAAAACTGCATGCAAGCATGGACCATATACCAAATCAGCGTAATGACTCAATACTAGTGTTCGATTCTCTTTTTATTTTTTATTAAGATAAACGAATTTAATGCACTCTTAATATTTAAAGTCTAATAAAATATTTGATTCGTATTTTCGCGCGTTACCCAAAACGACTGCTTGTCTGTCCTATCGAGAAACGTGCGATGATCCGTCCGAATACTATCCGACAATTACCGAAAGAAACTCAATCTTCTCTCTCTCTAAAATTATCGATAGCAGAGAGAACACGTGAAAACTCTCGCTCCCGAACAAAAATAATCGAATTTGTGGTGCGAACTTTATGTAACTCATCCTCGTATGTGCAATACGTAACAGTGGTGTTTCTCAGTGTTGCGTCGGCGAAATTCCGGGAAACTGTGTATTTTGCAAGTGGCGGCCGCCCGAACATCGAGATTCCTGACTTCGGAAGCCATCGCAGTCCATACCAGGTAGGATTTTGAGTATTCGTTTTGGGTCGAATTTTTAATTAACTATCAAAGTTCATTGCTCATCAATCTCGCCCTTTCATTTGGTCCTTCGAGCCGGATAATTTCACGGTATTTTCCGGAAGTTTCCATCCTTTTTCCCAATTTTGCCAAGTCCCATAGTCGCCATTCCTACCGGTCAGGATTCACGCTATCTCCGCTTGACACGCGGCGCGCACCTCGAATCGGACTCCCCACTCCACCAGAAAATTATTTCGAACTGGTGCTTGACCACCTACGTATCGCTGCACTCTCTCTCTATTTCGTATTCTTATTTGTTTTGATTTCGTTTGTTTTGATAATCCTCTGATTCCACGATTTACGGATTCGAATAAGACTCACAGTCGTACCGAAAACTCGGTCACTGCAATCTATAGAGTTCGTTCGCACTATTTTATAAGTAATAGAATTGATTGTCTATTTGTTTGGTTGAGAGGTTGATGGTACCGGTACTGGTCTCAAAACAGTTGCCTATCAATTATTGATATCACTTATTTACCTTACCCCTGGCAACTCTCTACTCTTCGTCTATCGATTCTTATACTCACTCGCACGTTTTACAATTACTCAATAACTCTAATCTTGCTTGATTGGATTATACTCAAAATGAATGCTACGGCAGAGAACGTGAAAATTAAACAACTCACTGCTCAACGGATCACTGAGGAGATTAAATTATGCGAAATAAAAAAGATTGCTGATGCCGCTCTATTGGATAAGTCACTACACAATAATTTGAAATGTCGTTACAAAATGCTTGATAATTGTCTTGAAAGTTTCGAAAAACTCCATTTCAAAATAATTTCTATAATATCAGCTCAAGAAAATGGAGACTTAGAGCCTCATAATCTCATTTTTACCAAATTCCAGAATGATTATTTCCATATTCAGGCTATTTATTCACAACTTTTTGAAGATCCTCAGAACCTTACATTACCACCTCTAGATACGAGTACCAATAATCCAGGAAAACACAATGTCAAATTTCCTGAAATCAGTCTACCTAAGTTCACCGGTGACCTTTCCGAGTGGCCATCATTTATTGACTCTTTCGATTCATTAATCCATGATTCGGATCACTTATCGAATATCGAAAAATTCAATTACTTGTTGATGTCTCTGAAAAATGAACCGTATAATTTTATAAAAAATACTCCAAAGACTAGTGAAAACTATACGATTGCATATGATCGACTCAAACGTAGGTATGATGATAAGAGATTGATTGCTACCGCACATTGGCATGCTGTAGAAAATACAAAAAAATTGTCGAATTCTGCTGGCCCTGCTGTGTTACGTCAGTTGGTTGATACATTCACAGAAAATATTGCTATTTTAGAAAAATTGAATTACCCCGTGGAACATTGGGATTTCATATTGTTCAATATGTTGTATGACAGATTGGACAATGCTACTCAAACTCGTTATGAATTTAGTGAAAATTCAAATGATGATGATGACTGTTATAATAAGCTTGTAGATTTTCTTGAAAAACAATGTTCAGCCATCAGCAAAGTTGCCTTCTCTAACAATTCGGGTAGTTCAAAAACCAACGATTCTTCAAAATACAAACAATCACCTCGAAATATTACGAATAAAGCGAGAGGTAGCTCTTCGTTTATAATAAACTCTTCTACTCAACCTCGGATGGTATGCCAGTTGTGTGATAGCGATCATATGATATATAGTTGCCCAGTTTTCAATTCTAAATCTCCCAAAGAGAGATACACTATAGTAAAAACTAACAGGTGGTGTTTAAATTGTTTGGGCTCCAAACATTCCTCAATCAAATGCACTTCAAGGGTTCAGGGTTGCAGAAGGTGTTCAAAACGACATCATACCTCCCTGCATTTCGACTCCACCCCGACATCGCCTCAAGAAATAGTTGATCAACCCGCTCAGTCCTCCTCAGGTATACCTCAACCCCTTTCCCCTTTATTCAATAAATGCCCTCTCAACAATAATAATGGGCCCATATCAAATTCTGTGAATATGCTCGCGCATGCGAATAGCACTATTTTGCTATCTACTGTATTGATAGAGGTTAGTGACAGGTTTGGTGAATATCATACTGTTCGCGCCATCCTAGACAGCGCAAGTCAATCTAATTTCATAACCCACAAGTGTGCGAGTTCATTAAGACTGTTCCGTTCTCCCCTCTCTACCTCAATTTGTGGCATTGGACAAACTACCTCCCAATCCAATTACGGAGTCTCTTGCACACTGAAACCTCTCGAAAAAACAACTCCCATTTTTACTTTAGATTTTGTGATCCTCCCAAAAATCTGCTCGGATATGCCCTCAGCAAATATTTCCTCAGATCAACTACTTCAGTTCTCACATTTGGAACTAGCTGATCCCAAATATAATATTTCCGCTCCAATCGACATGTTATTAGGTGCAGAAATTTACGGATTGATTCTCAAGGGTAGTACACTCTCTAGCTCTACCAATGAACCTGTCGCAATCGAGACTGTTTTTGGTTGGGTGATTTTAGGAAAAATTAATTATTCCTCTTTAACGCCTCCTTCTGACATTGTTACTGATTCATTTTTTTGTTCCTCATCCGAATTGGCCTTGGAAAATTCTATCTCAAGATTCTGGGAGCTCGAACAAGTGCCGGTGGTGACTCCTATATCTCCTGAAGATTCACAGGCTGAAACCATGTATGCTAACACTGTAAGTCGATTGAAATCTGGCAGATATGAGGTCTCACTTCCGTTTCGAGCTACAGAACCTTTCTTTGAAGGATCTCGCGATATCGCCCTGAGACGATTTTTCGCGTTAGAACGTCGACTACTTCAATCACAATCATTGTATGCACAATACTGTGAGTTTATGCACGATTATTTAACAGCAGGTCATATGGAACCTGTTTCGGACACTTCTCCACATCCTCAGACATATTATATTCCTCACCATTGTGTGGTGAAGCCCGATAGCTTAACGACTAAACTGAGGGTGGTGTTCGATGCGTCGGCAAAAACTCGAAATGGTACCTCTCTCAATGATACTTTGCTCACTGGTCCGAAACTCCAACAAGACATTGTCTCGATATTGTTGAGATTTCGTTCATATTCTGTTGTATTTACAGCGGACATAAAGCAGATGTATCGGCAAATTTCCCTTACGAATAGCCACAGAGATTTTCAGAGAATAGTCTGGAGATTTTCTAAAATGGATCCCATAACTGATTTCAAATTGAAAACAGTTACATATGGCGTGAATTCTTCCCCTTTTTTGGCGATTCGTACGTTACTTCAATTGGCTCAGGATCACAAAAACGAGTATCCTCTTGCCAGCCAGTTATTACACAAAGATTTTTTTGTTGATGATGTTGTGTCTGGAACAAACTCTCTTCCACAAGCTCTCAAAATACAAAATGAGCTAATTGAATTGTTGAAAAAGGGTAGTTTCGAATTGAGGAAATGGGCGAGCAATCACCCCTCTCTTCTAAACCGTTTTCCACTGTCTAGTCTTCAATTTGATCCACTATCTCTCGATAAAGATACTGAATCGACTATAAAGATTCTAGGACTACACTGGAATGCTTCACTCGACATTTTCTCGTACAATATCATAGCTCAAGATAAAGCATGCACCAAAAGATCCATGCTCTCGGATCTTGCGAGGGTGTACGATCCATTGGGATTTCTTATTCCATTAACTCCCTATCTCAAAGTTCTCATTCAACGCCTCTGGTGTGCCGGTATTGACTGGGATAGCCCACCTCCCGTAGAAATTGCTAATATATGGTCTCAGTTCAAATCACAACTCTCCGATTTATCTGAGCTCAAAATACCTCGGCAAATATTGAAAATTCCCCTAAAATGCTGTTGCGTCCCGACGATCATGTTTGTAT